CCTAAAAGACGAAAATATAAAAGAGTAGAAGAATCTATTAATGATCTAAAAATCAAACTGTTAAATGGAGTAAAAAGTGCAATTGAATATACTGACGCCATATCACATTTAGTAGGGTTATGATTTATGTTTGATACATGTATTTGTTGTTACTTTTATGAAATTTATTGTGAATAAAGTTGTTAATTAGTTTAAACCTAGTAGTTTAAAAAAAACAGACTATACTTTTAACACCATTGTATTCGATAATCCCCTTGCTTGATTAATTCCCCCATGAGAACAATAGCAGGGGGCACAGTGAGATGTCCCCATTAGAGTCTCGTATAAAAACACTTTGCAGTAAACACCAATCTGTAAAAATTGCAACAGAATTAATTTCACTGGAATATGCAAATTAGACACCCCGGTCATGACTGAAAAACACACTTTTAGTCTAAACTCAAAAAAACATTTGCAATAACCTGAAAAATCAAGTTCCCACACACATTTTAGCAAGACCAAAGAATGTAACAAAAGTATCTGTACCTCACTATGAATAACATTTAACTGATTGCATTAGTACCACAGCACTGCTGTCACGAGGGGGAGGGGGCGTCACATAGCCCAGATGGAAACAAATTATCAAAACATTATCATCAGATTTGTCTAAAATTGGTTTCGGAGTCGCTACAGCTATGTCCTTTGCAGTCACCGCAAGCATATTAGTGCAGCCCAGTCGATTTTTCTTTGCAAGGACACCGAGTCGGTGCCATACCACTCAATCATATTTTAAGTACGTGAGATATGACTTCTCTTCAATGTGTGAATCAAAACATTAATTAAAGATACAATATGGTCGCGAAGACCATAGTACTAGTTTCCGTCTAACGCCGAAGACATGTTTTAAGTAAAAACATGGAATAAATAATATTGATATTATGAGAAGTAAAACCCCTTGAGAACGAGACATCATTGTACAATAAAAACTTCATGCATAAAATATTTGAATATATGATTACATACGATCAACGACCTGCTTCAATCTGTATCAAAGAAAAACACAAATAAACAAAAATCAAAATAAAGTTCTTTACTGCCCTTCTAAGTCCTATAATAATTCCTTTTAACCTACTAAACACAGATAAACATAACTCAAATCTAAAAGTTCGTTGATTCTTGAAGTGTCCTACATGTAATTCCAAACATTATAACAGTTCATTTCTAATTTGTAAAGTTCAGTTTTCACTTTAAATTCTGCAATTCATCATCTTGGATTTCCATGCCAGCATAGTCTCAAGCTGAAAACTTTCTTTTTCTTCTAAGTATGATTGGTTTGGTGGGCAAAGTACAATTTTATCCGTCAATCCAAAACATGTCATTGCCATTAGACCAGGAACTATATATATATAACTATTCTTAATATAAAACTCTATATTAGTCTAACATTATAACACTATAAACCTCAGAATGCCTCGTTCGGCATTTTTGTCCAAACGTGGCAAAAACGTGTTAAAATTTTTGCCACAATTTTGATTTCGCTCCGCTTTGAACTTGACTGTTTTTCATTTCTCACATCTCTTTGTTGGAAATATTGTGTGGACATATGAAACTGCAACAAAAAAATGTAACAAACTCTTTATATGTCATTTCTAGACTTTGGTTTGGCTGAACCCCACCCCCAACCCTTTTGAAAAAGTATGTATCCATCCTTGTGAACAGCCTTGTTCTGGAGAAAATATCTCGTACCAAAAACATAGCAATTTTTTTTTTTTTAAAAAAACCGTTTTGGATCTACAGACAAACGTGGCATTTTGTTTTTGCCACGTTACAACGTGGCAAAATTGTGGCAAAAATTATAACACGTTTTTGCCACGCTTGGACAAAAATGCCGAAATTATTAACTCTTACTCTAAATAAAATTAAACCTTCATTTAATTATTAATAAACTGTGATATGTCTCTTGAATCATCAGAATTTTAAAACGGTACTTTTTTTAAAAATAAATTATAAATCTACAAACTAACAAACTCTAGAGATTGCACAACAAATTGTCACTTCTGCAGTCGTTAAACTACCAGAAGGAACAGCTACATAGCTTCAACCTCAAACGTACTATACGACGTTTCAAGAATACTACCAGGAAACCCGGTACCTCTACCACCAACTCCACAGGCCATAAAAATACCAGACCAATACAAAGAAACTTTTAATGGGGAACCTGGCAGCGGTACAAACAATCCAGCTAGACTTTTACTGTATTCAACAGAGACCAATTGAAGGTCCTTACTTCAACCAGTCATCGGTTTGCTGACGAGACATTTAAATTTGCACCTGAATATTTTACCAGGTTTACGCCATACATGCTCTTATCGACAACCACATAGATCTACGTGTCTATACAAACTGAACCTATATAATTGTATATCAATGATTAGTGATGTATGATGATAATAATAAAGAATATTTAAGTCATACTTATTGCAAATGTTTTTGGAGATTGGACTATATAGTCCAGTCAATTGATGATTTGTACTCCCAAAAATTGCAAGAAAACGTTTATTGAGGTATACTTTATAAAATCCCAAAAGTTTACCAAATTTTGCGCACCGGAATCAATGGCCTAATCAATGTACAAGAAAATCCTAAACTGTTGTTTTTAGAACCCTAAAGATGCTGTTGGGGCCATTCTTTCATTTGAATATGTAGCCATTAATGTTAACTGGTCCCTTAAATTGGTAAAATGGCCGACATTCGCTCCTTCAATGCACAAAAAAATCTTAACTGTTTGGTTTAAGACCCTATAAGTGTAATACGAACATATAAATTAATGTTTTTGGGCCCATTCTTTCATTTGAAGATAAATCCTGGCGTGTTCACTTGTTCCTTAAAGCGGTAAAATCCAAGATGGCTGACATTTGCCTAACCAATGTACACCAAAAATCTAAACGGTTGGGTTTTTAAAAGATCGTATTAATGTATATACGTGTATAATGAACATATAAATTTATGCTTTAGGGGTCATTCTTTCATATGACGACATACCCAGTGGTGTTAACTTGTCCCTTATACCGTTTTAGGGGACCGAGAACCCAAATTTACGAATAGGCTTTACCCTGCCCTGCTTCATCATAATATAGCACCTTTAGTATCTGAAATACGGTCATAAATGGAATGCGATTTGGCACGTAAGCTTCCAAGAATTATTTCACAGTGGGGTTACCATTCGGTAGAATAGAAATGAAAAGCCACACCCTTACTTAAAGTAGCCTGTGCAGCATAATTCAGCATAATGTATTGAACTTTGGCCTTACCAAGGCGCAGATTTAGGGGGGGGGGCATGAGACAAAGTCCCCTCAGACCCAGTCCAAAACAATTATAAGACGTTTTCTGAATTATTTTCGAGGCTAGGGCGCTCGATTCCATTGTTAACTTTCTTCCAATCCTCTATTGCCTTATACTATCTTATCGCTATCTGAATTTTTTTAACGCCTACGGCGCTCGATTCCGTGACGTCATCTTTCTTCCACTCCTCTATTGTCTTCTACTATCTTTTCACTATCATATTTACGGTTATAGTGAATCCTCCTTTTAGTACCACTAGTGAGTGGGTCGTGGGCGACAGACTGTACAAATGTTCTGTCAACTCTCACAAGACAGGTGGAATTGGCAGGCAGGCCACGAGATTTTGTCCCAGTTCTTATCCTGTTGTTCACAAGACTGTATACTACTGTTCTGTCAACTCTCACAAATCAGGCGGAATTGACAGGCAGATCTCGAGATTCTGTCCCATTGACTGCCATTTCTGATCCTCTCGTTCAAATGAATTTGCACCCCCCCCCCCCCCCCCGAATATCTCAAAAGCCAGGATATTGACTCAAATTCTCCCGTTCAAGTTACTCAGTCTTATAGCTACTGCCCCTACGGTTCACAAAATATTAATAACAAAATCGATAACAATCATAATAAGTGACATAAACTTTATGTCAACTTGAATAGAACTGAGATAACGATCTGCGAACAACTAAATAGGCAATAGGATCTATGTTCTATCGGGACGCTCAGTATTAGAGCCATTGTTTTGTTGACATTCATTGTGGGGTGGGATTATTGTTGGCACCCTAGATTTGGGTTCGCGTCAACATGTTTTGCTTTAGGGGATTCCCCGAAAATGGTATAAGGAACCACTTAACACCACTGGGCATATCTTCAAATGAAAGAATGACCCCAAAAACATTAATTTAGAGACATATAAATTGCCATTTTATGATAAAACAGTGCAGAGTTGTGCCCCTTTGTAGATCTGGATTCTGGCCAGCATGTTTAAATCTGGGGTAATGAAATCCCGAAATCCCCGAAGATGGTTTAAGAAAGCACCGGACATCTATGAAAACAATGCCATACAGAAGTTTGACCCTGACAACCTAATGCATGGCGTCGATTTGGTGTGTTTCTCTTAAACATTGACGACTTTGTGTTTGTCTGAAGTTGTACCTTTTAAAGGAAAATGACTTAAAAATTTGGGATTTTCCGGTACTCCAATTTTGGTAAACTTTTAGGATGTCTTTCAGTAAACCCAACGCTACCAAAAAACCTTTTCTTGCAATTTTTTTGATCCTCTTTTTGTTCATAAATTGACTGGACTATTGTACGTGCTGTTCTCCTAGTGTTTTTCGTTACTCTTGATTCTGAAGTTATGGATCACTTCCATTTTTAAGTATTTCTTGTTCTCCTTTCGCGCAAATAGTGCGGGGGGGGGGGGCGTGCGTCGTTTGTGCCCCCCCCCCCCCCCCCCCCGAATCCGCGCTTGTTATCATTTAGCACTTTAGGGCGATAACGTAATTGAATACGGTGTAATATTGCTAGGGTGGCATTAGTTTTAACGAAATGGCCAAAAGAATTTAATTTAAATACGTGTAAGTTTAACTGAAAACAGGATCTTTAAATAATGCGGTTGTATTCCTCATGTAATTTGACACTTTCATCCAGAGTTATCCTCATCGACGCATGCGCTCTTCGTCATAATTTCTGCCATTGAATGAAAAGAGATGTTGAAAAAAACAAAATGGATTAAATGGATTTGGGGTATGCAAGAAGAGGATTAGCCAAATGTCTTCGGCACTTTCTATGTTTAGAAAGTCGGCCAGTCATGGCGATGTTAAAAAGTCGGCTCAAAAGGTAGCAGACCCAAAGAAAGATACGGCAACAAGGTTGAAGCACCTGCGGACAGTTTTGGGTAAGTGCAACTAGCCTACAAACAGAAACTTAACTTTTTAGAAACTGTCAAAATTATTTGTTGCGCCTATGGTAAGATATTGACCTAATCACATTATATCAAGAACTGTCAGTTACTGTGTCACTATTTTACAACGTAGATCAAACTCCGAACCGAACTAGAGAATCAATTGCATTGGATGAATGAACGAAAAATCTGAAATCTAAATAAGTAGGCCTAATGTCATCAGTTGCTTGATAAGACAAATGCTCCCAGTTTGAACTGTATACCCCAGCAACCATTTCTGATAGGTGCTCCCTGTTTTCAAGTTTGTTGCTCCCTCCAAATCCACATTTTTCAGGAATTTTATGTTTGGACTTTGGGGGCGTGGTTGTAAGCACTCCACAGGGACTTTCTCACAAGTACATGTAATAGGTATAATATAAATAATATATAGGCCTAAGTGTTTCCAGAACTAGTAAAGCTAAATTAAACAGAATATGCAATATTCCATTATGTTATGATTTCAACCATTAATTGATTACATACTGTAGCCTCCAAGTGTGGTGATATGATGGAGGGTTGTTTTGTAGTCCTGGACATTCAAGCGATATTGTCTATCCAAAAAGAATCCTGCAGATGGAAACATGAGTTCCCTACACTTAAGTTATTTATACAATACATACATACATGTATAGATATGAGTTTTTTATGAATGTAAATTGATGTTCTGTTGTGTATTTTACAGAAACCTACAGATATGATGTTCAGGAAGCCAAAAGATTTTTTCAAGATAATTATTCTCATATTTATTACATTTTCTATGATAACTTTAGTACGATTGAAGCAGACTTGAAACAGAGGGGTATGTACATGTAATAATTTATGCTGAATTTCTACCTTACACATAAGATGTGTAAGTCAATTTGATTTATCAAAGTTCTAAAACACAATTTTAAAAAGTCAGTAAACATTACTCTCTTTGTACAAGCATTAATTGAGCTGTATGCTGTACATTTATGTTTACTACGGTACCGATATGTTAACTCATTTGTCAGATCGTACCGTTGAAAATTAAATATGTGATCCTTACAGTTCTTTTGATTGTTTTTCAGCGAATAAAGCCCATAGAGAAGAACTTGAGTCAATATTGGTCATTTTTGAGGTAAAATCTTTTACTCATTAATGCTTATGCTCAGAAATTTATATTGTACTACCTGTATGGAATCCGACATGTATATAGTAGAGATAAGGAGTTTAACTAAAGTTGATCTTTCAATAAATTGTATCGCTAAGGGAGTCGTTATAATATTCATGCCAGGTTTTGAGAATCGATTTACTCAAAATGATTTAAATAGATTTATATATATTATGCACAACACTTGTTTGATTGGACAAATTAAAAGTTATTTATTGAAATGTAAGTGTTAGGGTGCATGTACATTGGTTTTGATTTTAACACTCAACACCAGGGTCTTTGGTAATAATAATAAAAAAATGTTTTGCAGAGAATATTGTATTTGATACCAGAACTAATACACAAAAGATGGATGTTTCACAGTATTGGTAAGTGCAATGTTGACGTTTTCAATATAACATTATTGCAATAGACAGTGGGGCCTGCATCAAATTTTAACACTCATCTAATACAAGTATATTGAATGCTGCATTTATATCAGGCCTATTTTATTTTTTTCAACCAAACTTCAAGCTTAAACATTTGTTTAATAATTAGTTAAATTTAATTTAAACATACATGTAATAAAAAGTAAATATTTTTACCTAATTAATTTTACAAAGATGTCATGTGTACCAGTGATTGCAACTGCTGAGTGACATTCCATCGCAGACCTGTTTGTTTCAGTATATTTATATTGTTGGGGTCAGTATTCTAGGCCTATTTTGATATCGTAAAGTAAACAGTTGCCTAATTACAAATTTGGGTTTCAAAATTCCAGAATAAACCTGGTTATTTGTATGATTAAATGATAAATTGTTAATGTTATGGCTTCGCTAATATTCACCAGATTGTAGGAGTGTATTGTAGGAAACATTATGACCTTCAGACCTGTAAAACAAACCTGACTGTCTGTTAAATGTCTTTAGAAATCATAACAGGAGCCGAAATTCAGAGGTCTAAAAAAATCCCTGATGCTCAATATGGTTTTTGTAAAACCCTTGTCAGATATGATATATTAGGGTCACACTATATCAAATAATTTGTCAGTGGATTTCAACATCTGTGTTAAGCTCACATGTATGTATTGTAATAAAGTATTGTATAGTGACTTGTCAGTGTATTTGTTTGATAATGAAAGTTCTATTTATATGGTGGCTCATCCCAGTGTGGCTGTGAAGGTTCCTCAGGGATTTTCGTTGTGTTTCTCCTTTGTCGGTGATGCAGGATGGAAGGCCTGATAAGGACAGTGTCCAGTTGTTCACATTGAACAAAAAAACCAAGGCATATTGATGTGAACGTAAAAGAACCTCGAAAAGTTGGAATTCAGTTGTCAGTGCAAAATTTCACTGTATGCCCGTTTTCATTTGGGGGAGGGGGGATGGTTAGCATGTACGTGTTGTATCATAAGGTCTCTGTTATTGAGCCAACTGGCGTGGTTTCGATTCCCCTGTTGTACGTGACAAGGAGTAGCCTCGCCTATCCAACCTCGTGGGTTTTCTCCAGATCTTCCGGTTTCCTCCCACTGCTAAAGACCCCTATGCGCAATTGAAATAAACTTGAACCATATGTTAGTCTCAAAATGACCTAGTTTGTGTCGAGTGGACGTTAAACCCCATTTCTCTCTCTCTCTCCAATATATTATATGTATCTGTTGATTAGAGAATATATAAACAGCACACTCTAATACAGGAGTGTCAAACATGTGATCCGTGGAACAAATTTCAACAAACTTAAGTGTCGATAATTTTTAGAAACTAGAGATGGAAATCTCTAACTTCTGTACTATATGTCATAGATATAATCTAAGTTGTATGTAATACAAAAAAACGTTATGTTCAATATTATTTCTTGGCAACTTGAAAACCAGTCTACAAAAATTACCCATGTCAAGGACGTTTGGCTTTGTTTTCCGAATTCAGTAAAGTTCTGGGACGTTTGACTTAATCTTGATATTTTGTATATCTCCGGCCAACTTGATGTAAAATTTTAGTTCATGTGGCCCCTGAATCGAATGAGTTTAACACCCCTGCACAAATACCTTATGGACCCTCTGTTGAACTATGCAATTTATTGCAGATCAGTGATTATTGGTAAGGATCAAAACTACCTGAGAAATAGTCTTTGGTGTGTATAGGCCTTTACTATTGTTGTAAGATGGTTGTACTACATGTATGTAATTTTATTTGTTTACACAGGTGGAATTTTGAAAAAGTTACTACATCCAGGAAATTGTATAAAGGTATGATACATAAAATTAAATAAATTTGCTTCTAAAAGTTAATCTACAATTAAGTTTGGGGAATGGACATCAGCATATAAACGTTCCATTATTTCAATTCAGTCGGAGTATGGTCACCTGTCCAACCTCGTGTGTTTTCTCCGGGCCCTCTGCTTTCCTCCCACTGTTAAAGAGCCCTACGCGCAAGCGAATTATTGAAATAAAATTCAACCATGTGTTAGTCTAGAAATGACCTATTTGTGTCGAGTGGATGTTAAACCCCATTTCTCTCTCTTTCTTATTAGCCCACTCGGTGAAGAAAAGCAGAACGTTAAACCCCTTTCCGTTTCGTTTCTTTTCAAATTTGCATCATTAATACATCTAGAATAGAACTGACCATAGTTTTGATTTGTATTTGAAGGTTTTAAATGTGGAGAATAAGCTGTCATCAAAAGGTTGCATAGCACATTTTCTTAGCTGTCCAAGCAGTATTATTTCATTAGCTGTCCAAGCAGTATTATTTTATTAGCTGTCCAAGCAGTATTATTTCATTATTTTAATTCCAGTTAAGAAGAGAAGGAATGAGACTCTACATCATATGGTATCAAATTTTACAAGACAATGCGTCTGAAGAATGTCATCAGATATTTCTGCAATTAGTTCCAGGATTAGGAGATGGGCAGCACCAAGAAGCTTTGTTAAATCGAATTCCAACAACACCTGATAGTAAGTCTTGTGAATTACCTCTCTGTTTATTTTTTTGTGTCGGAAAGTGAAGAGTGCTTAATAAACCTCATGTTCTAGATGTTCTTATCTCTCTACAGTGTACATGTATGTGTGTAGATGTAGTATTTTATTATAAGCTACTTTATGTAGTTCAGCAGGAACATTTTGGTAAAATCCCTTTTTGTTTTTATAGGAATTCAGTTTTATTTCTATACTTGGTTAAGAGGTAAATCAATGTATTGTGATATAAGAGCTTGACAGATTTTAATTTAAAGCATTATTTCAAATTTATTCAAATATATACCAGTATAGAAGACCTGCTGTATGCATGTAAAACAGAATGCTAAGAGTATATTTAACTATTGACTTTTGAGTTTTCCTGGTATATTGGGATGTTATACCTGAGTATCTCATGTGCCAAACAGAATGAACTGTGAAGTGGATTATGACAATGTTGGGCCAGTGTGGTGCCAGTATATAAAACTCAATATGCCAGTCAATTACCAATGTCAGTTCCTATATTTACAGTACATATGCCATATACTTGAATTTGAAACCTTTTTTTTTCTGTTAAATTCGTCTTTTTTCTCATAAATCCTGTTGATGAGGTTTTGAAGTGTCTGTAATGAGCTGTACTGTAACCATGGAGATGATGCTGAAATGTCTATGCAATCATTCACATGATCAACTGTGGTTAATGTCATTGAGTTTAGAAGGATCAGTTTTATTATTAAGTATAATTATTTGATTCTAACAATTCAAACAGGATTTCCTTGTATTTACAAAGAGGTATTGTCACTTTTCAACAAGGAAATAAATTTGTTTTATTTTTATATCATATTCAAAATAACAATAACCGCTTTGTTCTATAATGTTATTTTGGCACATGGACAATATAAAGGTGCTGAAATAGAAACAATGGACATATTCTTCATTCGATAAGATTCTCACATTATAATGAACTTTTATTGATCTACTATCAGACTATACCAATCATTAAAGAGATAAATCTGCCTATTTCAGGTCTTTTTTTAGGCCTTCAATATTACAGGGTTCCCGCGGTCCTTGAAAATCCTTGAATATCCTTAAATTTAAAATGTCATTTTCAAGGTCTTGAATATCCTTGAATTTCGCGGAAATAGGAAAATATCCTTGAATTTCAGTTGAGATCCTTAATTTTGTTTCAAATGTCTTCAATTCCTTTTAAATATGAGATTATAACGATAGTTGGTAATGTTTTGGTTATTTTTAAGATGAAAAATTCTTTAGGCTAAAAAATGTCATTGAAAATCCTTGAATTTGACGTATATTTATCATTGAATATCCTTGAAAAAATGTTTGCCGAAGCCGCGGGAACCCTGTATTATATAATTTTATTAACATGACAAGACCATAATCAACGCTCTAGGTCATTGGATGGCACCAATTTTGAGTAGATTAGATTGGTTTGGCCATTTAATAAATTTATTGATTTAATTTAAAAATGGAGAAGTGAGGCCTTGTCTCGAACAACCAGTACAGTGGTTACGATAATACACAATCAATGCACACATCTTGTCAAAACTACAAACATTGATAACTTCTATCAGAATAAAGTAATTTAAATAAAATATTTTTAATACATGTATATTCATTTTGCATTATCTATTTTTGAACTATTATAGCAAGAACGGCCAGCTCTTTATCTAAATTGTAAATCTTACATAATGATTCTCAATTTAATCCTCTGTTAACAGCTATGTATGCTATTCTTTAACATCAACCATTAGCTAAAATGTCTTCTATACTTGTCTGTGTCCGCTAATTTGTCCAGGCTGTTTGGACCAGGAACTGGGAGCCAAAGGCTACTCATCTTGTTGTTCTTGAGGATGACACTCTTCAAAAAAAGTCTAAAGCCAAACACAAATGAGTCAACATTTATGTCGACCAACAAAAATACCAAACAAATATTTTTGTTTTCTTGTCCACACACGATGAACGAATGTTTTAGGTCGAACAATAAGTCTAGCACAACATAAAATCACCACGAACATGGTAACATAGACGAACAAATCTTTTAGGTCGAACAATATCTAGCGCCAAATGATGTATATACATTAACATACATCATTGCAACCGCAACATAAATCATGTGATTTCAAAATGGTATACATATCACATGATATGTATTTCTTTGCTTATAGTTATGCAGCATAGTTCGATCCTAGCCATCTTTGAAAATGCAGTTAGGAAAAATGTGCCAGTTTTAAGGCTTGGAAATTTAATAGGATGTATATATGTGATAGGGCAAGACAAGTTACAATATTTTGATGGCTATATTGTATCTCTTGTTGATAGTTGTTGTGTATGTGAATAGGGTGAGGTTATTTTCCGAACTTTGATAAGACATACAATATTTTGATGGTTATAACTTATATTGTATCTCTTGTTGATATATTATTAGTGTATTTGAATAGTGATACTCTTGACATTTTTGCGCAGTGCTTGCCCCATGTGTGTTTTTATGGTAATCCAGTATTTTTCTAAAAGATTGAGCATCTCTACTTTCCATATTGCCAAATTTGCCATACTTTTATTGGAAGTAACTACCCTTAAATACTTTTGTGAGAATGTACATGTATCTTTAACATGTTGTATTTTATTCTTCCATTATTTTAGTACATAAAAAATACAAGCCTAAATTAATTTTATTCTTTTATAAGCAATACTGAATGAACCTAGATATTTTTTTCTTGAATGTGCAATAATGTTCTTTTCATCGGCTGAACATATATAGTACTAGTGGAACAGATCAACCATTTTGAAAACAAAACTTTCACAGTCTAGAAGCTGTCCCTGTACCGGTACTTGATTTGGTTCTATAGTAACACTCAGGGTAATGAACCATGGGCTCCATGTCGGCCGTATATGCCGGTCGGGACCGAGGGCTCTGGAAAATGACCGAAACTGGATCAGACCCGTAGGTCATTTTGTGCTAAATCATAAAATCCCGGGATACGAAGAAACTCCGTGCGTGTCTTGATGTAAACTTTCAGGTATAATAAAATTAACAGTGTTCAGTAGTCCACGGATGGAAACCATTGCCAATTAATTATCCTTGTGTATATTGCTCTAATCACAATCAAAAGAGGATTAACATCAAACAGATTAAAAGCTTAACATTTAATGACTTTAATTAGCTGAATTTGGTTTTTAATTAATTAGTACTGTGTGATTCTTAAAACTGAGTTGTTACAGCATATTTGCCGACTTTCATCGCTCGTGTAGCCACATTTACTGTATCAACATCAAACAAATTAAAAACTTTACATTGATGTCTTCACTTGATAACTAGAGTTAATCATGCGAATGATATATATATCAGAATTGCTTTACATCATTTCAAAATTATGTGTGTTTTTAATCCTGTTGTTGTCTTTTATGTAATAACTTCTTGACGTTAATTTGCTTGACACAATGAACTTTTACACTTGCTGCCATTATGGTACATGTGCAATTATCTTTATACATGTATGTTATCGAGTGAAATTACTAGAACGATATTGTTTGAGCTTCCCAAATATTAATACGAGTTAATATATTGATAAGTTTAAAAAATATGTTAATTGTTGTACATTTTTATGACTTTGAATTATTTAAATGCGTTAATCATTCGAACGTGTATGGAGAAATAGTCAACAGTCCAACTCGTCACGTATGCAGTACGCAATGGTTAATTAAAAGAACTATGGCCAAATTAAGTGGACCCATGCTATTTTTTTGTTCATGGACCATAAAAGCTGCCATGACAACAATAAGTATGCTACTCAAAAGTGCTGTGCATTATTTCATTATAGCGTCCATTCATTGATGTGAATTGAAAACTTCATTTAAACAAATTTGTTCATTCTTATTTTGTTTTCTTGTCTCCAGTTGAGAAAACAGATCCCTTTCTAAGTCCTCTCAGTAAGTCTGATTCCAAATTTTTTGATTTAATAACTTTTAATTAAATTAAATGTTCATTTGGGTTCTTATTTTGGCATGGCATTTATTTTCTGTTAGATTTCAATCTGTTATTAAATGTGATATTCTCATAGATAAATAAATGTAAAGCTTATGTTATAATTAAATTAATAATTGCTCCTTGACATTATAATAACACATGTTACGTTGATTTCATAACAATCTGATTAAAAATACAGATCTATATTTCGTTTCGTTTCTTTTTTATACTTTCGATGGCTTACGCTACATGAAGATCTGACCAGCTGTAGTGGAAGGTCGTGTCAGGGGTCATACAAGCGGCTTTTGACCCTATGACGTCAGACATTGATTAATCAGTCGGTGTTAACGTTTCTAGTGGATTACCCACAGTTCCGTGCATCGCACACTAAGAACTTGCTGTAACAGACCGTTTCATCGGCTAATCCCTCACATCAACCAGAACGCAGCTTACACAACAACTCTTCGAGATCCTAGTGTTGTGAAGACAAGTAAAACAGAATTTTGAACTATAAAGATATGTGTTTTAATCAGATTGTTTCATAACATCCTAATTTAATTGATTGATGTGATTGCTTATTATTAATGATTGAAAGTTTGTATCTACTTTTGTTTTAATTTTTACATGTATGTGCCCACATTGAATTGTGGTGACTATTGTTGTCTTCTCCTGTCCGTCTGTCAACAACAATTTTATGTGAACACTCCACTACCAACTAAATTTATCAATCAATCTTGTCCAAATTTATATATGTTGTTTCAACAATTGCTGTTAATTTCAGGTGTAGTTATATAGTTATTGTCCTTGTTTCACTTCCAGTACAAATTATTCAGATTAGTGAAATTTACATGCATTATTGAAATTAGTGAGACAAAGAATCCTATTGAATTTCAATAATTTTTGTTTATCAATTCTAGAGTTATGTCCCTTATTCACTTTGTAAAATCTTGTGAATCGTCTATCTGCTGTGGACATATGTTATATTGCCTGGTAACCCATCTTTCCTTTTGGAGTGATTACTAGCTTT